ATGTTTCTAGCGATGGATGTCGCCAATAATCGCATTAATACTTCTGATTGATTCTATGTGTGATTATTTCTTTGTATGTAAATTATATGCTGCCTAATGTTTTATGTTTATATATATATATATATATATATATATATATATATATATATATATATTACAATGAATCATTCATACAAAAAGTAGATTAGTAAAGTTAATGATATAAAATGGCGAAATAATTTAGCAAACAAAATTTTGAAGGGCAATTACCTACAAATCACTCGATGAATGTTATGATCCTTGTTTTTAAAAATCATAAACTGTATAAAGTTTTTTTTTTTTTTTAATACGCAAGTACTTTCAACGAAATAAACTTACGGATTCTTTTTGGGCTTTTACCATAACCTAGAAATATATAGCCAACCAGCACTCTTTTCTTTGTTTCTAATAAGTTGTTTTCCCGTTTTCTTAGTCCCTTACTTAAGTCTTTAGCTCATCCAATGCGTCTTCGGATCTCGGTGTCACATTTTCCATCGTCACTTCCCAGATATTTAAACTTTTATTTGTTCAATCAGAAACCCTCTTCCGTCATCCATTTACTCAAGCTCACTTAGTAGCTTATGCGTTGTTTTTATCTCGCCACACTGATTTCAATCTGTCCTGTGACAAAAAAAATTTCCATACCCTCTTTCCTCATTATTATATCTTAGATATTTCAACTATCTCTTCCTGGTGTGAAGTATAAGATTCCTTTTTCTTTCACCTACCCTAAAACTTAGTCGTTTCACACATGTTCGGTTCATTTTATTCTCAGCATCCTTCTGTAGAACTATAATTTTGTTGTTTCACGGCCCTTGTTCATCCGTGAGAAATATTTCCAAGTATTCACTGCAATGGACTGATATTAAGTAACAGTTCAATACTCTTTTTTTTGTTCTAACGACACTTTTCTGTTCCTTGATACCCCGCTTAGATTTTGCAATGCCTTTTTGGCAATCACAATGTCCCTTCGGATTGACGTCCTCCGTTCAAACACTTCTCAGGTATTTAAATTGTTGTACTTGTTTGATTTTGGTTTCCGAAAATTGTAGTTTGCATATGGGGTTCTTATGACGTAAATGGCAAAATGTGATTTTCGTAAAGTGAAAGACTGAGTTTTATTTTTTTCAAATGTAGTTTTGTGATTATCAGTTTCTTTTTTGTGTTCACCTAAAATAAAAAAAAATATCTACATAACAGAAATATATTTTAGGCTTCTTACTATTTTTATTTGTCTGTTTTCTTTGTTTAACGCCATATCACCTCCTTATTGGTCATCTAATGCCAAAATTTAATTTACCTGGAAACTTTGAAGTAATAAAAATAGGATATATGTTATTCTGCTTTCACAATTGAATACATGGTAAATGATACTCAGATTTTGTGCGTATAAACGTTTGTGTGAATATAATTACTGGATGCGGTGATATTTAATGTTTTATGTCGCAGTTTTGTTGAAAATATATTTTGAAATACAGTTTGATTTCTTTAAGAAATTATAGGATATTATATGGATTAATGGATTAGGATATTATATGGATTAATGTCATGAATGAGTTCTTTCATGTTGGCTGGTAATTTGCTGATTTTGTTTAGTGACATATCAACATCCATGCCAAAATTTAAATATTTTGAACACATTTTCATGGCTTAAACTAATTATATTTTGAACGGAATTGTATGCCTTCGACTACAGATAAAAGGTATTGTCGGTAATTTTGCTTTAATAATGTATTGTTAATCAGTTTGCTATTAAAAGTATTGTTGATAATTCTCCAATAAAATACATTTGCTGATCAAATGTGATTTTCGTAAACTGAACGGACATAATGAAATATCTTTAAAAGTAATGGAAGGACTTAACATGAAAAAGAGAATTGAAGTGAAAAATATGTAATTGTGCTAATCAATACTAAGAATATCATAGGCAAAACATATAAGAAGTTTACAGGAATATAACAAGTATAACAAAGAGACAGTGATCTATTATTAAATGTCGAGAATATCATGGACGGAACATGTAATCAATGAGGATGTTTTAAGAACAATAGGAACTACAAGAAAACTTATACTTGCAATCAGAAAGAGACAGTGAGTTAGGTCTATTATTGAATGCAGAGAATAACATGGACTGGACATGTGATCAATGTGGAAGTTTTTAAAAAATATGGATTAAAAGGAAACTTATATTTGCAATCTGAAAGAGACGGTGATGTAGGTCTATTGTTGAATGCAGAGAATAACATGGACTGGACATGTGATCAATGTGGAAGTTTTAAAAAATAAGAATTACAAGGAAACTTATATTTGCAATCCGAAAGAGACGGTGATGTAGGTCTATTGTCGAATGCAGAGAATAACATGGACTGAACATGTGATCAATGTGGAAGTTTTAAAAAAATAAGAATTACAAGGAAACTTATATTTGCAATCTGAAAGAGACGGTGATGTAAGTCTATTGTTGAATGCAGAGAATAACATGGACTGAATATGTGATCAATGTGGAAGTTTTAACAAATAAGAATTATCAAGGAAACTTATATTTGCAATCTGAAAGAGACGGTGATGTAAGTCTATTGTTGAATGCAGAGAATAACATGGACTGAATATGTGATCAATGTGGAAGTTTTAAAAAAATAAGAATTACAAGGAAACTTATATTTGCAATCTGAAAGAGACGGTGATGTAAGTCTATTGTTGAATGCAGAGAATAACATGGACTGAATATGTGATCAATGTGGAAGTTTTAAAAAATAAGAATTATCAAGGAAACTTATATTTGCAATCTGAAAGAGACGGTGATGTAAGTCTATTGTTGAATGCAGAGAATAACATGGACTGAATATGTGATCAATGTGGAAGTTTTAAAAAATAAGAATTATCAAGGAAACTTATATTTGCAATCTGAAAGAGACGGTGATGTAGGTCTATTGTTGAATGCAGAGAATAACATGGACTGAATATGTGATCAATGTGGAAGTTTTAAAAAATAAGAATTATCAAGGAAACTTATATTTGCAATCTGAAAGAGACGGTGATGTAAGTCTATTGTTGAATGCAGAGAATAACATGGACTGAATATGTGATCAATGTGGAAGTTTTAAAAATAAGAATTACAAGGAATCTTATATTTGCAATCTGAAAGAGACGGTGATGTAGGTCTATTGTTGAATGCAGAGAATAACATGGACTGAATATGTGATCAATGTGGAAGTTTTAAAAAATAAGAATTATCAAGGAAACTTATATTTGCAATCTGAAAGAGACGGTGATGTAGGTCTATTGTTGAATGCAGAGAATAACATGGACTGAATATGTGATCAATATGGAAGTTTTAAAAAATAGGAATTACAAGGAAACTTATATTTGCAATCTGAAAGAGACGGTGATGTAGGTCTATTGTTGAATGCAGAGAATAACATGGACTGAATATGTGATCAATGTGGAAGTTTTAAAAAATAGGAATTACAAGGAAACTTATATTTGCAATCTGAAAGAGACGGTGATGTAGGTCTATTGTTGAATGCAGAGAATAACATAGACTGAACATGTGATTAATGTGGAAGTTTTACAAAAATAAGAATTAAAAGGAAACTTATATTTGCAATCTGAAAGAGACGGTGATGTAGGTCTATTGTCGAATGCAGAGAATAACATGGACTGAATATGAAATAGCAAATGCTAGGAAACTTATATTTACAATCAGAAAGAGACAATAATGTAGGGCTGTTATTAAAATCGGAACTACAGGAAAATGCTAAGATTCAGAAAGAAACAAATAAAAAAATGAGGAAAGACGGCTTCGAGAATTCAACACTCTCTGGACATATTGGACGTAAAAGAAAGAATCTGAAAAACAAATAACAGATTGGACGGTTTTGATCGAATGTTTGACAGAAGGACGAAGTTCAACGGAAAATTGTCTAAAGTTACCTCGAGAAATGAAAGATTGCATTTCTTGCAAGCCATTGTTTCCCAGCCCAGGGCAAATGAATAAAAATCAACCAAACATTGATAATTAAAATATAAGTAACCTAACCTGAGATATTTTTCCTATCACTTTTTTTTTTAAATATTCCCTTTAAAAATATTTGTAAAATTATTTTCTGAAAATAATTCATGTTTTACCTCTCAATTTGTTACTCATTTACCCACCTGTTTCTACCACTCTTTAGTTTACCCACTCATTTTCTTTTCACTCCATTCTCCTTGCCCCACTCTCTATGTTCTTTTACCTCTCCCCCTCCCTTTAGCCCTCCCCCTATTTCTTTCTCCATTAACCTCCTGTTTCTCTCTTAATTAACACTCTCACTTTTCTTTTCACTTCATTCTCCTTGCCCCTCTCTCTATGTTCCTTTACCTCTCTCCCCTTCCTTTAGCCCACCCCCTATTTCTTTCTCCATTAACCTCCTGTTTCTCTCTTTAGTTAACACTCTCACATTTCTTTTCACTTCATTCTCCTTGCCCCTCTCTCTATGTTCTTTTACCTCTCTCCCCTTCCTTTAGCCCTCCCCCTATTTCTTTCTCCATTAACCTCCTGTTTCTCTCTTTAGTTAACACTCTCACTTTTCTTTTCACTTCATTCTCCTTGCCCCTCTCTCTATGTTCTTTTACCTCTCTCCCCTTCCTTTAGCCCTGCCCCTATTTCTTTCTCCATTAACCTCCTGTTTCACTCTTTAGTTAACACTCTCACTTTTCTTTTCACTTCATTCTCCTTGCCACTCTCTCTATGTTCTTTTACCTCTCTCCCTTTCCTTTAGGCCTCCCCCTATTTCTTTCTCCATTAACCTCCTGTTTCTCTCTTTAGTTAACACTCTCACTTTTCTTTTCACTTCATTCTCCTTGCCCCTCTCTCTATGTTCTTTTACCTCTCTCCCCTTCCTTTAGCCCGCCCCTATTTCTTTCTCCATTAACCTCCTGTTTCTCTCTTTAGTTAACACTCTCACTTTTCTTTTCACTTCATTCTCCTTGCCCCTCTCTCTATGTTCTTTTACCTCTCTCCCCTTTCTTTTGGCCCTCCGCCTATTTCTTTCTCCATTAACCTCCTGTTTCTCTCTTTAGTTAACACTCTCACTTTTCTTTTCACTTCATTCTCCTTGCCACTCGCTCTATGTTCTTTTACCTCTCTCCCTTTCCTTTAGGCCTCCCCCTATTTCTTTCTCCATTAACCTCTTGTTTCTCTCTTTAGTTAACACTCTCACTTTTCTTTTCACTTCATTCTCCTTGCCCCTCTCTCTATGTTCTTTTACCTCTCTCCCCTTTCTTTAGCCCGCCCATATTTCTTTCTCCATTAACCTCCTGTTTCTCTCTTTAGTTAACTCTCACTTTTCTTTTCGCTTCATTCTCCTTGCCCCTCTCTCTATGTTCTTTTACCTCTCTCCCCTTTCTTTTGGCCCTCCGCCTATTTCTTTCTCCATTAACCTCCTGTTTCTCTCTTTAGTTAACATTCTCACCTTTCTTTTCACTTCATTCTCCTTGCCCCTCTCTCTATGTTCTTTTACCACTCTCCCTTTCCTTTAGGCCGCCCCTTATTTCTTTCTCCATTAACCTCCTGTTTCTCTCTTTAGTTAACACTCTCACTTTTCTTTTCAATTCATTCTCCTTGCCCCTCTCTCTATGTTCTTTTACCTCTCTCCCTTTCTTTAGCCCGCCCCCTATTTCTTTCTCCATTAACCTCCTGTTTCTCTCTTTAGTTAACATTCTCACCTTTCTTTTCACTTCATTCTCCTTGCCCCTCTCTCTATATTCTTTTACCTCTCTACCCTTCCTTTAGCCCGCCCCCTATTTCTTTCTCCATTAACCTCTTGTTTCTCTCTAAAGTTAAAACTCTCACTTTTCTTTTCACTTCATTCTCCTTGCCCCTCTCTCTATATTCTTTTACCTCTCTACCGTTCCTTTAGCCCGCCCCCTATTTCTTTCTCCATTAACCTTCTGTTTCTCTCTTTAGTTAACACTCTCACTTTTCTTTTCACTTCATTCTCCTTGCCCCTCTCTCTATGTTCTTTTACCTCTCTCCCTTTCTTTTAGCCCGCCCCCTATTTCTTTCTCCATTAACCTCCTGTTTCTCTCTTTAGTTAACACTCTCACTTTTCTTTTCACTTCATTCTCCTTGCCCCTCTCTCTATGTTCTTTTATCTCCCCCCCTTCCTTTAGCCACCCCCTATTTCTTTCTCCATTAACCTCCTGTTTCTCTCTTAATTAACACTCTCACTTTTCTTTTCACTTCATTCTCCTTGCCTCTCTCTCTATGTTCTTTTAACTCTCCCCCTTCCTTTAGCCCGCCCCCTATTTCTTTCTCCATTAACCTCTTGTTTCTCTCTTTAGTTAACACTCACCATTCTTTTCACTTCATTCTCCTTGCCCCTCTCTCTATGTTCTTTTACCTCTCTCCCTTTACTTTAGCCCGCCCCCTATTTCTTTCTCCATTAACCTCCTGTTTCTCTCTTTAGTTAACATTCTCACCTTTCTTTTCACTTCATTCTCCTTGCCCATCTGTCTATGTTCTTTTACCTCTCTCCCCTTCCTTTAGCCCGCCCCCTATTTCTTTCTCCATTAACCTCCTGTTTCTCTCTTTAGTTAACACTCTCACTTTTCTTTTCACTTCATTCTCCTTGCCCCTCTCTCTATGTTCTTTTACCTCTCTACCCTTCCTTTAGCCCTCCCCCTATTTCTTTCTCCATTAACCTCCTGTTTCTCTCTTTAGTTAACACTCTCACTTTTCTTTTCACTTCATTCTCCTTGCCCCTCTCTCTATGTTCTATTACCTCTCTCCCCTTCCTTTAGCCCTCCCCCTATTTCTTTCTCCATTAACCTCATGTTTCTCTCTTTAGTTTACACTCTCACTTTTCTTTTCACTTCATTCTCCTTGCCCCTCTCTCTATGTTCTTTTACCTATCTCCCCTTCCTTTAGGCCTCCCCCTATTTCTTTCTCCATTAACCTCCTGCTTCTCTCTTTAGTTAACACTCTCACTTTTCTTTTCACTTCATCCTTTTGGCCACTCTCTCTATGTTCTTTTACCTCTCTCCCTTTCCTTTAGGCCTTCCCTATTTCTTTCTCCATTAACCTCCTGTTTCTCTCTTTAGTTAACACTCACCTTTGTTTTCACTTCATTCTCCTTGCCCCTCTCTCTATGTTCTTTTACCTCTTTACCCTTCCTTTAGCCCGCCCCCTATTTCTTTCTCCATTAACCTCCTGTTTCTCTCTTTAGTTAACACTCTCACTTTTTTTTCACTTCATTCTCCTTGCCCCTCTCTCTATATTCTTTTACCTCTCTCCCCTTCTTTTACCCTCTCCCCTCCCCTATTTTTTTTTCTCCATTAACCTCCTGTTTCTCTTTAATTAACATCTCTTCACTTTTCTTTTCACTTCATTCTCCTTGCCCCTCTCTCTATGTTCTTTTACCTCTCTCCCCTTCCTTTAGCCCATCCCCTATTTCTTTCTCCATTAACCTCCTGTTTCTCTCTTTTTTTAATACTCTCACATTTCTTTTCACTGCATTCTCCTTGCCCCTCTCTCTATGTTCTTTTACCTCTCTCCCCTTCCTTTAGCCCTCCCCCTATTTCTTTCTCCATTAACCTCCTGTTTCTCTCTTTAGTTAACACTTTACTTTTCTTTTCACTTCATTCTCCTTGCCCCTCACTCTATGTTCTTTTACATCTCACCCCTTCCTTTAGGCCTCCCCCTATTTCTTTCTCCATTAACCTCCTGTTTCTCTCTTTAGTTAACACTTTTCTTTTCACTTCATTTTACCCCTTTATACTTCATTCTCCTTTGCCTCCCCCTTCTCCATTATGTTCTCTTTTTACCTCTCTTTTCCTTTTCTTCTCCTTGCCCCCTCTTATTCTTTTACCTCTCCTTTCTTCCTCCCCTATTTCTTTCTCCATTAACCTCCTGTTTCTCTCTTTATTTAACACTCTCTCACATTTTTCTTTTCACTTTTGTTCTCCCCTTGCCCTCCCCCTCTCTCTATGTTCTTTTTACCTCTCTCCCCTTCCTTTAGGCCTCTCTCCCCTTCCTCCCTCCCCTATTTCTTTTTCTCCATTAACCTCCTGTTTCTCTCTTTAGTTAACACTCTCACTTTTCTTTTCACTTCATTCTCCTTGCCCCTCTCTCTATATTCTTTTACCTCTCTCCCCTTTCCTTTAGGACTCCCCCTATTTCTTTCTCCATTAACCTCCTGTTTCTCTCTTTAGTTAACACTTTTCTTTTCACTTTTCTTTTCTCTTCATTCTCCTTGCCCTCTCTCTATGTTCTTTTTTACCTCTCTCCCTTTCCTTTAGGCCTCCCCTATTTCTTTCTCCATTAACCTCCTGTTTCTCTCTTTAGTTAACACTCTCACTTTTCTTTTCACTTCATTCTCCTTGCCCTCTCTCTATGTTCTTTTACCTCTCTCCCTTCTCTTTAGCCCGCCCCTATTTCTTTCTCCATTAACCTCCTGTTTCTCTCTTTAGTTAACACTCTCACTTTTCTTTTTCACTTCATTCATTCTCTCTATGTTCTTTTCTCTCCCCCTATTTCTCTCATTAACCTCCTGTTTCTCTTTACTCTCTTTTCTTTTCCCTTTCTCTTTAGTTCTTTTACCTCCCCTTTATTTCTTTCTCCATTAACCTCCTGTTTCTCTCTTTAGTTAACACTCTCACTTTTCTTTTCACTTCATTCTCCTTGCCCCCTCTCTCTATGTTCTTTACCTCTCTCCCCTTCCTTTACCTCTCTACCCTCCCCTATTTCTTTCTCCATTAACCTCCTGTTTCTCTCTTTAGTTTACACTCTCACTTTTCTTTTTTCATTCTCCTTGCCCCTCTCTCTTCATTCTCCTTGCCCCTCTCTCTATGTTCTTTTTACCTATCTTCATTCTCCCCTTTAGGCCTCCCCTATTTCTTTCTCCATTAACCTCCTGTTTCTCTCTTTAGTTAACACTCTCACTTTTCTTTTCACTTCATTCTCCTGGCCCTATTTCTCTCTATGTTCTTTTTACCTCTCCCCCCTTTCCTTTAGGCCTCCCCTATTTCTTTCTCCATTAACCTCCTGTTTCTCTCTTTAGTTAACACTCACCTTTGTTTTCACTTCATTCTCCTTGCCCTCTCTCTATGTTCTTTTTTACCTCCCTCTTTACCCTTCCTTTATTCTCCTTGCCCCCATTATTTCTTTTTCTCCATTAACCTCCTGTTTCTCTCTTTAGTTAACACTCTCACTTTTCTTTTCACTTCATTGTCCTTGCCCCTCTCCCTTCTATATTCTTTTACCTCTCTTTACCCTTCCTTTTTAGCCCTCCGCCCCTCTCTATTTCTTTTCTCCATTAACCTCCTATTTTCTCTCATTTCCTGTTCTCTCATTCTCTCTCACTTTTCTTTTTCACTTCATTCTCCTTGCCCCTCTCTCTATGTTCTTTTACCTCTCTCCCCTTCCTTTAGCCCTCCCCCTATTTCTTTCTTTCTCCATTAACCTCCTGTTTCTCTCTTTAGTTAACTTTCTCACTTTTCTTTTCACTTCATTCTCCTTGCCCCTCTCTCTATGTTCTTTTACCTCTCTCCCTTTCCTTTAGGCTGCCCCTATTTCTTTCTCTCCATTAACCTCCTGTTTCTCTCTTTAGTTAACACTCTCACTTTTCTTTTCACTTCATTCTCCTTGCCCCTCTCTCTTTTATATTCCTTTTATTTCCTCTAACCTCCCTCTTTAGTTAACCCTCTCCTTTTTTCACTTCATTCTCCCCCCTCTCTATTTCTATTTTTTCTCCATTAACCTGTTTCTCTCTTGTTTCCTTCTCTTTAGTTAACATTTCTTTCTCCATTAACCTTTCTCTTTTTCACTTTTCATTCTCCTTGCCTCTCTCTATATTCTTTACCTCTCTACCTTCCTTTAGCCCTCCCCTATTTCTTTCTCCATTAACCTCTTGTTTCTCTCTTTAGTTTACACTCTCACCTTTCTTTTCACTTCATTCTCCTTGCCCCTCTCTCTATATTCTTTTACCTCTCTACCCTTCCTTTAGCCCGCCCCCTATTTCTTTCTCCATTAACCTCCTGTTTCTCTCTTTAGTTAACACTCTCACTTTTCTTTTCACTTCATTCTCCTTGCCCCTCTCTCTATATTCTTTTACCTCTCTCCCCTTCGTTTAGCCCGCCCCCTATTTCTTTCTCCATTAACCTCCTGTTTCTCTCTTTAGTTAACACTCTCACTTTTCTTTTCACTTCATTCTCCTTGCCCCTCTCTCTATGTTCTTTTACCTCTCTCCCTTTCCTTTAGGCCTCCCCCTATTTCTTTCTCCATTAACCTCCTGTTTCTCTCTTTAGTTAACACTCTCACTTTTCTTTTCACTTCATTCTCCTTGCCCCTCTCTCTATATTCTTTTTACCTATCTCCCCTTCCTTTAGCCTCCCCTATTTCTTTCTCTACCTCCTGTTTCTTCTTTTTACTCTCCTTTCTTTTCTTCCCTTTTCTATGTTCTTTTACCTCTCTCCCTTTCCTTTAGGCCTTTTTTTTATCCATTAACCTCCTGTTTCTCTCTTTAGTTAACATTCTCACCTTTGTTTTCACTTCATTCTCCTTGCCCCTCTCTCTATGTTCTTTTACCTCTTTCCCATTCCTTTAGCCCCTATTTCTTTCTCCATTAACCTCCTGTTTCTCTCTTTCTTTACACTCTCACTTTTTTTTCATTCTCCTTCACTCTCTATATTCTTTTACCACTTCCTTTAGCCCTCCCCTATTTCTTTTCTCCATTAACCTCCTGTTTCTCTCTTTAGTTAACCTCTCACTTTTCTTTTCACTTCATTCTTTTGCCCCTCTCTATGTTCTTTTACCTCTCTCCCCTTCCTTTAGCCCACCCCTATTTTCTTTCTCCATTAACCTCCTGTTTCTCTCTTTAGTTAACATTCTCACCTTTTCTTTTCACTTCATTCTCCTTGCCCTCTCTATGTTCTTTTACCTCTCTCTCCCTTCCTTTAGCCCGCCCCTATTTCTTTTCTCCATTAACCTCCTGTTTCTCTCTTTAGTTTACACTCTCACCTTTTTTTTCACTTCATTCTCCTTGCCCCTCTCTCTATGTTCTTTTACCTCTCTCCCTTTCCTTTAGGCCGTCCCCTATTTCTTTCTCAATTAACTTCCTGTTTCTCTCTTTAGTTAACACTCTCCTTTTCTTTTCACTTCATTCTCCTTGCCCCTCTCTCTATGTTCTTTTTACCTCTCTACCCCTTCCTTTAGCCCCTCCCCCTCCATTTCTTTTCTCCATTAACCTCTTGTTTCTCTCTTTATTCTTTTTACCTCTCTCACTTTTCTTTTCACCTTCATTCTCTCTTGTCCCTCCCTTTTCTCTCTATGTTCTTTTATCTCCCCCCCTTCCTTTAGCCCTCCCCCTATTTCTTTCTCCATTAACCTCCTGTTTTCTCTCTTTAGTTAACATTCTCACTTTTCTTTTCACTTCATTCTCCTTGCCCCTCTCTCTATGTTCTTTTACCTCTCTCCCCTTTCCTTTAGCCGCCCCCTATTTCTTTCTCCATTAACCTCCTGTTTCTCTCTTTCTTTTGTTACTCTCACTTTTTCTTTTCACTTCATTCTCCTTGCCCCTCTCTCTATGTTCTTTTTACCTCTCTCCCCATTCCTTTAGGCCTCCCCTATTTTCCCCTTTCCATTAACCTCCTGTTTCTCTCTTTAATTTACACTCTCACCTTTCTTTTACTTCATTCTCCTTGCCCCTCTCTCTATGTTCTTTTTACCTCTCTCCCCTTCCTTTAGGCCTCCCCTATTTCTTTCTCCATTAACCTCCTGTTTCTCTCTTTATTAACACTCTCCTTTTTTTCTTCATTCTCCTTGCCCCTCTCTCTATGTTCTTTTACCTCTCTCCCTTCCTTTTCCTTTTCTTTCTCCATTAACCTCCTGTTTCTCTTTTTAGTTAACCCCTCTCTTTTCTTTTCACTTCATTTCCTTGCCCCTCCTCTCTTCTTTCTCTTTCCTTTAGGCCTCCCCCTATTTCTTTCTCCATTAACCTCCTGTTTCTCTCTTTACATTCTCACCTTTTCTTTTCACTCATTCTCCTTGCCCCTTTTCTTTTTTCTCACTCCCCATTTCTTTCTCCATTAACCTCCCTCTCTTTCTTAACACTCTCACTTTTCTTTTTTACCTCTCTCCCTTTCCTATTTCTCCTTTTTAGGCCTCCCCCTATTTCTTTTTCTCCATTAACCTCCTGTTTCTCTCTTTAGTTGTTTCTCACCTTTTCTTTTCACTTCATTCTCCTTGCCCCTCTCTCTATATTCTTTTACCTCTCTACCCTTCCTTTAGGCCCTCCCCCTATTTCTTTCTCCATTAACCTCCTGTTTCTCTCTTTAGTTAACATTTCTCACTTTTCTTTTCACTTCATTCTCCTTGCCCCCTCTCTATGTTCTTTTACCTCTCTCCCTTCCTTTAGCCCTCCCCTATTTCTTTTCTCCATTAACCTCCTGTTTCTCTCTTTAGTTAACACTCTCACTTTTCTTTTCACTTCATTCTCCTTGCCCCTCTCTCTATGTTCTTTTACCTCTCTCCCCTTCCTTTAGCCTCCCCTATTTCTTTCTCCATTAACCTCCTGTTTTTCTCTCTTTAGTTTCTCTTTTCTTTTCTTCATTCTCCTTGCCCCTCTCTCTATGTTCTTTTTCCTTTCCTTTAGGCCTCCCCTATTTCTTTCTCCATTAACCTCCTGTTTTCTCTTTGTTAACACTCTCACTTTTCTTTTCACTTCATTTCTCTCTATATTCTTTACCTCTCCCTTTCCTTTAGGCCTTTTCCCCTATTTCTTTCTCCATTAACCTCCTGTTTCTCTCTTTTAGTTAACACTCTCCTTTATTTTCACTTCATTCTCCTTGCCCTCTCTATGTTCTTTTACCTCTCCCTTCCTTTTAGCCCGCCCCTATTTCTTTCTCCATTAACCTCCTGTTTCTCTCTTTAGTTAACACTCACCTTTGTTTTCACTTCATTCTCCTTGCCCCTCTCTCTATATTCTTTTACCTCTCTACCCTTCCTTTAGGCCGCCCCCTATTTCTTTCTCCATTAACCTCCTGTTTCTCTCTTTAGTTAACATTCTCACCTTTCTTTTCACTTCATTCTCCTTGCCCCTCTCTCTATGTTCTTTTACCTCTCTCCCCTGCCTTTAGCCCGCCCCTATTTCTTTCTCCATTAACCTCCTGTTTCTCTCTTTAGTTAACACTCTCCCTTTTCTTTTCACTTCATTCTCCTTGCCCCCCTCTCTCTATGTTCTTTTTTAGGCCTCCCCTCTCTCCCCTTCCTTTAGGCCCTCCCTTTTTCTGCCCCCTCTCTATGTTCTTTTTCTTTCTTTTCCATTAACCTCCTGTTTCTCTCTTTAGTTAACACTCTCACTTTTCTTTTCACTTCATTCTCCTTGCCCCTCTCTCTATATTCTTTTACCTCTCTACCCTTCCTTTAGGCCGTCCCCTATTTCTTTCTCCATTAACCTCCTGTTTCTCTCTTTAGTTACCTCTCTTTTTTTTTCACTTCATTCTCCTTTTATGTTCTTTACCTCTCTCTTCTTTTGCCCCCTATTTCTTTCTCCATTAACCTCCTGTTTCTCTCTTTAGTTAACACTCTCACTTTCTTTTCACTTCATTCTCCTTGCCCCTCTCTCTATATTCTTTACCTCTTTAGCCTTTAGCCCCCCCTATTTCTTTCTCCATTAACCTCCTGTTTCTCTCTTTAGTTAACACTCTCCTTTTTTTTTCACTTCATTCTCCTTTCCCCCTCTCTCTATATTCTTTTACCTCTCTACCCTTCCTTTAGGCCCCCCCTATTTCTTTCTCCATTAACCTCCTGTTTCTCTCTTTAGTTAACATTCTCACTTTTCTTTTCACTTCATTCTCTCTCTATATTCCCTCTCTCTCTAGGCCTCCCCTATTTCTTTCTCCATTTCTCTTTACCTCTCATTCTCCTGCCACTCTCTTTGTTCTTTTACCTCTCTCCCCTTTCCTTTAGGCCTCCCCTATTTCTTTCTCCATTAACCTCCTGTTTCTCTCTTTAGTTAACACTCTCACTTTTCTTTTCACTTCATTGTCCTTGCCCCACTCTCTATATTCTTTTACCTCTCTACCCTTCCTTTAGCCCTCCGCCTATTTCTTTCTCCATTAACCTCCTGTTTCTCTCTTTAGTTAACATTCTCACCTTTCTTTTCACTTCATTCTCCTTGCCCCTCTCTCTATGTTCTTTTACCTCTCTCCCCTTCCTTTAGCCCGCCCCCTATTTCTTTCTCCATTAACCTCCTGTTTCTCTCTTTAGTTTACACTCTCACTTTTCTTTTCACTTCATTCTCCTTGCCCCTCTCTCTATATTCTTTTACCTCTCTACCCTTCCTTTAGCCCTCCCCTATTTCTTTTCTCCATTAACCTCCTGTTTCTCTCTTTAGTTAATTCTCCCTTGCCCCTCTCACCTTTCTTTTTCACTTCATTCTCCTTGCCCTCTCTCTATGTTCTTTTTTACCTCTTGCCCCCTCTCCCTTCCTTTAGCCTCCCCCTATTTTCTTTCTCCATTAACCTCCTGTTTCTCTCTTTAGTTTACCTCTCACTTTTCTTTTCACTTCATTCTCCTTGCCCCTCTCTCTATGTTCTTTTACCTCTCTCCCCTTCCTTTAGGCCTCCCCCTATTTCTTTCTCCATTAACCTCCTGTTTCTCCATTAACTCTCTTTTCTTTTCACTTCATTCTCCTTGCCCTCTCTTATTCTTTTACCTCTCCCTTCCTTTCCCTTCCCCTATTTTTTCTCCATTAACCTCTGTTTCTCTCTTTAGTTAACATTCTCACCTTTCTTTTCACTTATTGTTCTTTTGTTCTTTTACCCTTCCTTTAGCCCCCCCCCTATTTTCTTTCTCCATTAACCTCTTGTTTCTCTCTTTAGTTTACACTCTCCTTTTCTTTTCTTCATTCTCCTTGCCTTCTCTCTATGTTCTTTTTACCTCTCTACCCTTCCTTTAGGCCCCCCTATTCTTTTCTCATTAACCTCCTGTTTCTCTCTTTAGTTTTACTTTTCTTTTCTTCATTCTCCTTGCCCCTCTCTCTATGTTCTTTTACCTCTCTCCCTTCCTTTAGGCCTCCCTATTTCTTTCTCCATTAACCTCCTGTTTTCTCTCTTTAGTTTACATTCTCACCTTTCTTTTTCACTTCATTCTCCTTGCCCTCTCTCTCTATGTTCTTTTACCTCTCTCTACCCTTCCTTTAGCCTTTTCCTATTTCTTTCTCCATTAACCTCCTTGTTTCTCTCTTTAGTTAACACTCTCTCCCTTTCTTTTTCACTTCATTCTCCTTGCCCCTCTCTCTATATTCTTTTTTTTCTCTTCCTGCCCCTTCCTTTAGGCCTACCCCCTATATTTCTTTCTCCATTAACCTCTTTTGTTTCTCTCTTTAGTTTACACTCTCACCTTTCTTTTCACTTCATTCTCCTTGCCCCTCTCTCTATGTTCTTTTACCTCTCTCCCCTTCCTTTAGCCCTCCCCCTATTTCTTTCTCCATTAACCTCCTGTTTCTCTCTTTAGTTTACACTCTCACTTTTCTTTTCACTTCATTCTCCTTGCCCCTCTCTCTATGTTCTTTTACCTCTCTCCCCTTCCTTTAGCCTCCCCTATTTCCCCTATTTCTTTCTCCATTAACTTTTCTCTTGTTTACATTCTCACCTCTTTTCTTTAGTCTCTCTTGTTCTTTTATCTCTCTCCCCTTCCTTTAGCCTCCCTATTTCTTTCTCATTAACCTCCTGTTTTCTCTTTTTCACTCTCACCTTTCTCACTTCATTCTCCTTGCCCCTCTCTCTATGTTCTTTTTATCTCCCCCCTTCCTTTAGCCCTCCCCCTTCATTTCTTTCTCCATTAACCTCCTGTTTCTCTCTTTAGTTAACACCTCTCCCCTTTCCTTTTCACTTCATTCTCCTTGCCCCTTTAGTGATTCTTACTCTCACTTTTCTTTTCACTTCATTCTCCCTTGCCCCTCTCTCATGTTCTTTTACTCCCTCTCTCCCCTTCCTTTACCTCTCCCCTTCCTTTTAGGCCCCCTATTTCTTTTCTCCATTAACCTCTGTTTCTCAGTTTAACTCTCCCTTTCTTTTCCTTCATTCTCCTTGCCCCTCTCTAACACCTCTCTCCCCTTCCTTTAGCCTTTTCTCTTCACCTCCTGTTTCTCTCTTAACACTCTCCCTTTTCTTTTCACTTCATTCTCCTTGCCCCCCCTCTATATGTTCTTTTTTTCTACCCTCTTTCCCTCCTGTTTCTCTCTTTAGTTAACACTCCTTTTCTTTTTTATTCTCCTTGCCCCTCCCTATTTCTTTTTCTCCATTCCCCTATTTCTTTCTCCCCTCTTTTTTCTCTTTGTTTCTCACTTTTCTTTTCTTCATTCTCCTTCCCCCTTCTATGTTCTTTTACCTCTTCTCCTTTGCCCTCCCCCTATTTCTTTCTCCATTAACCTCCTGTTTTCTCTTTTTAACATTCTCACTTTTCTCTCCATTCTCCTTGCCCCCTCTCTAGCCTCTCTCCCCTTCCTTCCTCCTATTTCTTTTCTCCATTAACCTCCTGTTTCTCTCTTTAGTTAACATTCTCACCTTTCTTTTCACTTCATTCTCCTTGCCCCTCTCTCTATGTTCTTTTACCTCTCTCCCTTCCTTTAGCCCGCCCCTATTTCTTTCTCCATTAACCTCCTGTTTCTCTCTTTAGTTTACACTCACTTTTTTTTCACTTCATTCTCCTTGCCCCTCTCTATGTTCTTTTATCTCTTCTTTTAGCCCTCCCCTATTTCTTTCTCCCCCCTGTTTCTCTCTTTTAGGCCTCTCCTTTTCTTTTCTTTCATTCATTAACTCTCTCTGTTTCTTTTTCTCTCTTTCCCATTTAGTTAATTTCTTTCTCCATTAACCTCCTGTTTCTCTCTTTAGTTAACTCTTTCTCTCTTTTTCTTTTCACTTTTCTTTCTCCTTGCCCCTCTCTCTATATTCTTTTACCTCTCTACCCTTTCCTTTAGGCCGCCCCCTATTTCTTTCTCCATTAACCTCCTGTTTCTCTCTTTAGTTAACATTCTCACCTTTCTTTTCACTTCATTCTCCCTTGCCCCCTCTCTCTATATTCTTTTACCTCTCTCTCCCCTTCCTTTAGCCCCCCCCTATTTCTTTCTCCATTAACCTCCTGTTTCTCTCTTTAGTTAACACTCTCCCTTTTCTTTTCACTTCATTCTCCTTGCCCCTCTCTCTATGTTCTTTTACCTCTCTCCCCTTCCTTTAGCCCGCCCCCTATTTCTTTCTCCATTAACCTCCTGTTTCTCTCTTTAGTTAACACTCTCACTTTTCTTTTCACTTCATTCTCCTTGCCCCTCTCTCTATATTCTTTTACCTCTCTACCCTTCCTTTAGGCCGCCCCCTTTATTTTTTCTTTCTCCATTAACCTCTTGTTTCTCTCTTTAGTTTACCTCTCTCCACCTTTCTTTTTCATTTCATTCTCTTAACCCCTGTTTCTCTCTATTTTACCTCTCACTTTTTTTTATTCTCCTTGCCCCTCTCTATATTCTTTTACCTCTGTACCTCTCCCTTTCTTTCTTTAGCTCTGCCCCTATTTCTTTTCACTTCATTCCATTAACCTCCTTTTTCTCTCTTTAGTTAACTTTTCTAACCTCCTGTTTCTCTCTTTTTCACTCTCACCTTTCTTTTCACTTCATTCTCCTTGCCCCTCTCTCTATGTTCTTTTACCTCTCTCCCCTTCCTTTAGCCCGCCCCCTATTTCTTTCTCCATTAACCTCCTGTTTCTCTCTTTAGTTTACACTCTCACCTTTCTTTTCACTTCATTCTCCTTGCCCCTCTCTCTATGTTCTTTTACCTCTCTCCCCTTCCTTTAGCCCGCACCCTATTTCTTTCTCCATTAACCTCTTGTTTCTCTCTTTAATTTACACTCTCACCTTTTTTTTCACTTCATTCTCCTTGCCCCTTTCTCTATGTTCTTTTACCTCTCTCCCCTTCCTTTAGCCCGCCCCCTATTTCTTTCTCCATTAACCTCTTGTTTCTCTCTTTAGTTTACACTCTCACTTTTCTTTTCACTTCATTCTCCTTGCCCCTCTCTCTATGTTCTTTTATCTACCCCCCTTCCTTTAGCCCTCCCCCTATTTCTTTCTCCATTAACCTCCTGTTTCTCTCTTTAGTTAACATTCTCACCTTTCTTTTCACTTCATTCTCCTTGCCCCTCTCTCTATGTTCTTTTACCTCTCTCCCTTTCCTTTAGGCCTCCCCCTATTTCTTTCTCCATTAACCTCTTGTTTCTCTCTTTAGTTAACACTCTCACTTTTCTTTTCACTTCATTCTCCTTGCCCCTCTCTCTATATTCTTTTACCTCTCTACCCTTCCTTTAGGCCGCCCCCTATTTCTTTCTCCATTAACCTCTTGTTTCTCTCTTTAGTTTACACTCTCACCTTTCTTTTCACTTCATTCTCCTTGCCCCTCTCTCTATGTTCTTTTACCTCTCTCCCCTTCCTTTAGCCCTCCCCCTATTTCTCTCTCCATTAACCTCCTGTTTCTCTCTTTAGTTTTTACCTCTCCCCTTCTCACTTTTCTTTTCACTTCATTCTCCTTGCCCTCTCTCTATGTTCTTTTACCTCTCTCCCTTCCTTTAGCTCGCCCCTATTTCTTTCTCCATTAACCTTGTTTCTCTCTTTAGTTTACACTCTCACTTTTCTTTTCACTTCATTCTCCTTGCCCCTCTCTCTATGTTCTTTTTATCTCCCCTTCCTTTAGCCCTCCCCTATTTCTTTTCTCCATTAACCTCCTGTTTCTCTCTTTTAGTTAACATTCTCACCTTTCCTTTCACTTCATTCTCCTTGCCCCTCTCTCTATGTTCTTTTATCTCCCCCCTTCCTTTAGCCCTCCCCTATTTTCTTTCTCCATTAACCTCCTGTTTTTCTCTCTTTTAGTTAACATTCTCACCTTTTTTCTTTTCTTTCATTCTCCTTGCCCTTCTCTCTATGTTCTTTTACCTCTCTCCCTTCCTTTAGGCCTCCCCCTTATTTCTTTCTTTCTCCATTAACCTCCTGTTTCTCTCTTTAGTTTACACTCTCACTTTTATTTTCACTTCATTCTCCTTGCCCCTCTCTCTATATTCTTTTACCTCTCTCCCCTTCCTTTAGCCCGCCCCCTATTTCTTTCTCCATTAACCTCCTGTTTCTCTCTTTAGTTAACATTCTCACCTTTCTTTTCACTTCATTCTCCTTGCCCCTCTCTCTATGTTCTTTTACCTCTCTCACCTTCCTTTAGCCCGCCCCCTATTTCTTTCTCCATTTACCTCCTGTTTCTCTCTTTAGTTAACACTCTCACTTTTCTTTTCACATCATTCTCCTTATCCCTCTCTCTATGCTCTTTTACCTCTCTCCCCTTCCTCTTCCTTCACCTCTCTAATTGTTTCTCCTTTACCCTCTTATTTCTATCTCTCTTTAAATAAACCCTCTCACCTTTCTTCTCACGTTATTCTCCTTACCCCTCTCTCTATGTTTCTTTACCCCTCTCTCTCCTATCATCTGACAAGGTTATTATGATTTTTTATTTCACTAAATTGTTTGATTAACGATATTTGCATTTCGAATAATTATCATTTGTGTATTTTCTCTTTTAATTTTTACATTTTTATTGCAATAAAGAATTTTGCATTTAAAATAATAATCATCTCTATCTATAAAAGGCAGGATATGTGTGTGTGTGTGTGTGTGTGTGTGTGTGTGTGTGTGTGTGTGTGTGTGTGTGTGTGTGTGTGTGTGTGTGTGTGTGTTGTAACGAATGCACGGCCGCAATTTTCGACGGATTTGAACAAAGATTTACATGCACATGCTCCAAGTTAGCGACAAGGCCAAGACTGTCTTTGCATTTTTCAACTCTCATCGATAGTGGAAATAATCGACTTTTTCATGCTTCTACGGCAGTTTTCATGTAGTCTGCGGCTATTTTCTACTGGCCAGAGTGAGATCCAATAGCTGGCTGCCACGAATAGGCAGGAAGATTCTATTGGCCAGCCTGAGAGCCAACAGCTGACTGACACGAATGTTAACTAGCATGCTAGCATGCAAAAAAATCGATAGCTGTAGTTGTCACAAGTGGGAAAAATTTAAATCTGTATGGCACTTTACTTCAATTGGCTCATTCGCTTGCTTAAACTCAACGTTGATTCTGATTCCGCAGAACTGGGTTAAGTGTGAAAAAGTATTTGTTGTTAACATTCTTTTTTCATTCGGTTTTTCCAGTTACGAGTCCTTTTTTAAAGCTGATCGTTTTGTGTTCATTTTTTTTTTTTAGTTCTTTTTTCGTAACAGATTTAATGTTCAGTATAGAGCTTAGAAAAAACTCGCAGTGTGAGATAGGCAAGAAGTAAGGCATGTAGCAACATCAGCACGGCAACGGGCACTCCTTTAAAAGCAAGGAAGGGCAAAAATATTTTAAGTCAAGTGATAGCGATTGCTTTATGAATCGTACGATTTTTGAATCAAGCACGGGCAACGCCGGGTCATGCTGCTAGTTTAGTATAATTTTCTTTTTGGTGAATTTTCATTCAAACAATTTACAATTCGAATAAGTGTTTTCGTACCATTATTTTCCAAGAATTTTATCGATACGAAAAGAAAAAAATATAGGCTCCCAGCTATGGGCAAACAGTCAAGCCCCAAATGAAAACAAAACACTATAAATGTATAAAATATATTTTTATAGCAGAAATAACAGCAATATATTTTTATAGTGAGAATAGGAGCAACATATTTTTATAGCAAAAATACTAGCAATACATCCTTCAAGGGCGTTATTAGTTCTAAGTAAATCAGCATTGACTCTCTGAAAGCAAGACTACATACGTATTTCAAACATGGATATTTAGAATAAATATCATTTAGTATAACGTTCCTTTCGATTTATTTTTATTCAAACAAATTACAATTCGAATAAATGTTTTTTGAATAATTGTTTTCGAACAATTTTCTCGATACGGATTCTATAAAACCGCAACAATTCATATTAGCAGAATATGTGAAACCAAGAAAAGGCAATGTGTCGATCTCTTAGAGGTTAACCTCAGCCATGCTGACGGAAATTAAAAGTGGTTCTCTGTTATGATTAGCGGAGAGCAGTTTGCGCTTGCTATGAGAATTGTTTCCTGGAGTTTTCTAAAACGGGAGCTGATAAAACAGTCCCGAATAAATTTGAAAGATGTAAATATTTATAAGGAGAACTTGAAACTCCTATGTCAGAAAAAGACAGTTGAGGTTGTAAGCTGATATTTCATTTGCATTTAATGTCGGGCAAAGTATGCAAATTTATCAAAACAATATGATGAATTAAATAATAGGCAAATAATGTAGATAAAACACGTGCAGAATGGGGGATGAGAATTGGCGGTCATAACAGATATATAGATATATAAAGAGAAAGAGAGAGAGAGAGAGAGAGAGATAAAAAAAATTAACAAATAGATAGATAGAGAGATGGTAGATCGCGAGAGATTTCAGCCGAAATATAGATCTGAAGATATATATATATATATATATATATATATAGAGAGAGAGAGAGAGAGAGAGAGAGAGAAATAGAAAAACGATTGAACAGAGACAGTTATCTAGCTAGCTTGCTAGCTAGCTAGTAGGTAGCTACCTAGATAGATAGATAGATAGATAGATAGATAGATAAGAAGACCAAAATAGACAGATAGTGGGATATAAAGACATTAAGAAAGAAAGAAAGAAAGAAAGAAAAAAGAAAGAAAGAAAGAAAGAAAGAAAGAAAGACAAATATTAACAGTCTGATAGATAGATAGATAGATAGATAGATAGATAGATAGATAGATAGATAGATAGATAAGAAGACCAAGATAGACAGATAGTGGGATATAAAGAAAGAAAGAAAGAAAGAAAGAAAGAAAGAAAGAAAGAAAGAAAGAAAAAAAATATTAACAGTCTGATAGATAGATAGATAGATAGATAGATAGATAGATAGATAGATAGATAGATAGATAAGACCAAGATAGATATATAGTGGGATAGATAGACATTAATAAAGAAAGAATCGTTTTAATTCTGATAGATAGATAGATAGATAGATAGATAGATAGATAGATAGATAGATAGATAGATAGATAGATAGATGAGAAAACCAAGATAGTCAGATAGACGATAGATAGATAATAACAAAGAAAGAAAGAAAGAAAGACGATAAACTGTAACAGTCTGATAGATAGATAGATAGATAGATAGATAGATAGATAGATAGATAGATAGATAGATCTGAACAGACGTACAGAAATTTGAAATTTGAAAACAGCTTCAAATCACTCATCTGATCATTAGCTTAGGTCGGTGACACAAAATACCAAATTACTCTCCGATTATATTATTAAAAATAAACATTGTTCTTTTTTTTTAAAACTATGCTAAAAAATATAGCGGCAATCCTCTTGAAAGGGCAGTAGGAAAAGAAACATAGCTTCAATTTGATTGTTTTAAACGGCTTACTATGGTAAAAAAATCAATTATTTAGTGATTGGCCTGTATTGAGTGATACGGCTTACACAGCAATACGTTTTATGCTAAAACGTATTTTCATGCAAGAAAATATTCAAATTCTGCAATGGTGATTGTTCCTTACCTTGTGGTGGATTCACTCACATCATAGCAGCAGAAATTAGCCTTGTGTTCACGGAGATAAAACATACTTAACGGGAGATAAGATGTACATAAATGACTGGAAAAACTTAGTAAATTAATTTTAATTTCATACAATTTATTTCTGTTGTTCTGGTGTGTATTGGTGTGTGCATTTTCTAGGTTACAATTGTTTTATGGTACATGTGATAAAAGGGAGAATTTACTCCGTAGCATTACAAGTGATATCACAGAGAGAAGTCGGACCCGTGTTCCCCGTACCAAGGTTCGTGGTGAAGAGATTAAATGTTCAACGTCTTTTGACGGGATGTTCGCATTTCCGACAGGAACATTTTTTGTTGCATGCTGGGAGTATTTTTATTATTTTAAATTTATTTTAACCAAAGTTTTATGTTATTATTTTATTTTATTTTATTTTTAATTTTTATTATTATTATTATTATTATTATTATTATTATTATTATGTTATATATTATTTTATTTATTGATAATAATAATAATAATCCTCGAACCTAAATGATCAATATTTAACTATTCTCAAAGTAAATGCTTACTAACTCAAAGATACAAAAACAATATTTACCTATTCCTAAAGAAAATAAAATGCTTTTAGACTCAAATAGAAATGACTAATTCTTTCCTCTCCCCGAGCGATGTATATGCTGATAAGTTGAATGTAAACCTGCAATTTTTTACTCTCCTGAATCAAATAAACGCTGGTAGACTAAACTAAAAAAGAATTGATTCAAGATAACAATATTATGGCTGCTACGATTATTTGTTGAAATATTTCCTCGAATAAAAATTCAAGAAAATATTCCTATTAATAATATATAAAAGGTCTAATTAAAAGCAATTGAAATTAACATTAAAGAAATACTCGTTAAAAATTACCAATTGTTCACAATGAGTCAATATGATAACAACAAAATTCCTGAAAAGGTAAATGATTTTTTTTTCTTTTTCCAACATCGATACCGTAACTCTCTTTCGCTGCTTCGGTGAGAAGCAATTGGAAATTATATTAAAGTAATACAAATCGAAATTTATTAATAGTTGACAATCCTTCATGTTTACTCGCGTCCGTTGAGTGACGGCCTAAGTAATTGTGACGAAAAGCAATTGAAGGAACGAATAATCAAAACTTATTAATGGAAGATCTGATATATTGGCAGTGTTCCTGGCACCATGAATCTGCTAGTCGATGGTCTTTCAGATAGATGAGAGGGAAAACAGGAAGACAAGAATAGCAAATAACGAAGTGCTGGAATTTGTGCTGATCTGGCTGCTTTCCATGATATTCTGTGACATTAAAGATGTAAATGAACGAGCCAAATCTCTATATGGCAAAGATTTTATCTTCACAGGTTATATATATATATATATATATATATATACATATATATATATATATATATATATATATATATATATATATATATATATATATATATATATATATATATATATATATATATATATATATATATATATATATATATATATATATATATATATATATATATATATATATGGTGTAACAAACAAAAATTGTCCAAATCGTGTACCAGCAAAATTGTCCAATTGTTAGGTTAGGCTCTGAACCGTTATATCTGAGAATTGATTAAATATATCTTACTGGAATTCTCCGAGTTTTTTTTTATAACAGTATTGAACTCTCGTTTGAACAAAATAATGCATAATTACTCTCCAAGCTTAACAGAAGACTAGTGATGAAATCGATCATAAACGAAAATGACATGTTCATCATTAATTAATCATAGCTAAGGATCGAGAGGATTGA